CCTGTCCTTCACCCTGGCAGGGGCAGCCGCTCTGCTGGACTCCTCTTTACCTAATAAATCTCTTTCTCAAAGGAGTCTGGGAAGATCTTCATTCCCCAGCACGGAACACAAGGACTTGCTGGGACAGTCCCTTAGGTGGTTGAGCAAGGCTATAGCAGAGACAAGGAACAACTTTTTGCCATACCAGAGGACATTACTTCATATTGGAAGGGCTTCTCCTCTAGCAATCCAGCTGAAGAAGGGCCGAAGAAGCTGTTAACTCTGCTGGGACATTCCTTTAGAAGAAGAGAACAGGTAAGGAACAGGATTGCTACATCCTGCAAGGAGACCGTCCTCCATTAACTGTCCAAGTCACTCTCCTGCATCGTCACCCATGAACTGCTCCACGCCACGCTGCAGCCTAGTCCTCCGCTGACTACTCCAATGCATTGTCCTGACTGTCCTCCGTTAACTGTCCACTCCACTCTGCTTTGTTGCCCTCCATTAACAGCCCGTATCAGGCACCTGTGGCACAGACCACACCCATGGGTGGAGGTGGAGACAGGGGCAGATGTGACCTGGGGGAACTAAGGCTGAGGAGGGGGCTGGAGAGCTCTCTTGCTTGCAGCACGGGGACAGGGGCACATCCAGAGGCATCCTTGGGACGAGGAACCTGCTGGTGTTCATCTGTCTATGCTGTGAGTTATTTCTCCCTGAATAAACATCTACTCAGCCTATTTGTTTCTCCTGATCCTTATTAAGCATCAATAGGCTCCCAGAGTCATGTGGGGGTTACAGGTTCATGTATGCTTCGTCGTCTGTCATGAATGTGAACCTGCCCACAGATACAAGACCTCTGTCCTTGGGTCCTCAAGTGGGAGGCTGGAGGCTGAGTCAGGCTCCCTGCTTCCTGTGAGGATCCATGACAGGAGCCTCCCCATGATGTCCCCAACCTTTGCCATCAGGTCCACAACATACATGTGCATGATCGTGGGCAGCAAAGCATTATGGGACAGCGAGCAGAGCATCATGGGATGGGGAGCAGAGCATCATGGGAGGGGGAGCAGGGCATCATGGGAGGGGCAGAACCACATGACACCTGCCACCCAGGAACAGGAAGTGGCAGGGAGAGTAAAGCATCATGGGAAGGCGTGATGGGAAGGGTTATGGGAGGGCTGACTGTGAGTAGGTTAGAGAGTGCAGGATCATGGGAGGGGATGACAGGAAGTAGGATGGAAAAATGCAGCCTAACTCTCCAATGACCCCAGGAAGCTGAAAGTTCCAGACCCCGCCCTCTGCGGTAAATAGGCAAGGTCACACTGCTTGCTGCTTAGACAGTCAGGCCTAGCAAGATAACAGAAATGAGCTGAGTAACCGCTTATCTGAGTCGGTAAAGCTTGTGAAACCCCCGTCCTGTGGCGTATGCGCGGGCTTTGCTGTAACCCTAAAAAAGCCGTCTCACTTCTGCCCTGGGTCCTCATCCTCTACCCCTGCGTGGCACATGACTGTGGACCCCAGTGCACTTGAAATAAAAATTCCTAATGGTGTTGCCTCGAGACCTCGTGAGTGATTTGGGTGCCGCCTTTCCTGAGTCCCAGCATGAAGGCCCAGGGTCTCTCAGATGCAGGGCGGAGGACGATGGGCGGAGGCTCGGGTGGGACATCAGCAGGGAATCCCAAGGGCTTGGCAGCCCCACCCCGAGGTCCCGCTTCTGAGCGCTGTGGCCAGGCTGTCATGCGATGGTGCCCTGCGCCACTCCAGGCCCACCTCTAGGGAGCGGGCTGGACCTGGAGGTAAGGGTGCTGCTGGGGTCACAAGGTCAGGGCTGGCCCTGGGAAATAAATGGTGGTGCACCCGGAAGTAGGGGTACAGGGAGCAGGGGCCCAGCGAATTCTGGGTACTCAGTGACGTCACCCGAGCACACAGCACTGTATCACCGAGCACACAGTGAAAGACCCCCACTATGCTTATTGCCTGTTTAAATTGCTCTTGCTAATTTGCCAAGGTCAAGTTATGAGAAAAGTACAGGAAGGAACCAGGTGCTGCCCTCATCCAACGCCAACCAGATATCTGTGGTCTGCAGCCTGGACCAAAGCAAGGTCAGCAGGATGGTGTCCAGGATGCTGAGATAGTCATAACTGAATTCTTTGTATTCTTTGTGCCCAACCCGAATAACCAACTGTCCTTGGTTAACTACAACTGCTACATTTAGATGAAACAATGAAGTCCCTGTAACCATGCTTCTGCTTCTGTGAGCCTGCTTCTTGCCACCCCAACCTTATATAAACTGCATATGCTTTAACCAGGCTCGCTCTCTCAGTCTCTCGAAAGACTGAAGCGTCCATAGGTACCTGTGTGTAAACAATAAATAACCTCTTGTGCTTGCATCCAGTGGTCCGGTCTTGTCTCCTGGGGGCAAGGGCCTTCCCCCTGACAGGCTCCACAAACTCTTGGGGTCTTTCAACAGCACTGTGACCACCGAGCATACAGCATCCACCACCGAGCTCACAGCACTCCACCACTGAGCATCCAGTACCCTCCTGTCCTCAGGTCTCAGGTAACCCATTCTCCCCCCCCCCCCCCCCCCCGCCACTCTGAGGCCCAGGGGTGGGACTTCCTGTGTCTGGAAACCTCTGACCTTTACTGGGGAGTTTCCAGGAATCTATTATCGAAATCTGTGTGGGAGGACTGAGCATCACGAGTACTGACCACGGCAGTACTGGCGCAGAGAATACTAAGACAATAGGGTACTGAGCTCCACGGGTACTGAGTCCCAGGGATACTGAGCCCTGGAAGTACTGAGTCTCAGGGGTACTGAATCCAGAGTACTGAGTCCAAGGATGACTGAGCACAGAGTACTGAGACTCTGGTGTACTTAGCTACTTAGCCCAGAGTGTACTGAGTCCTGGAAGGACGGAGCCCAGAGAGTACAGAGCCCCAGGGGTACCAAGCCCTGAGAGTATTTAGTCCAGAGGGTACTGAGCCCCAAGAGTACTGAGTCCATGGAGGACTGAGCCCTGACAGTACTTTGCCCCAAGCAGATTGAGACCAGAGAGTACCGAGTCCTGGGAGTACTGAGCATGGAGTGTACTGAGTCTCAGGGGTACCGAGCCCCTGGGGTACTGAACCCCGAGCTAGTGAGAGCCCTCTGGGACCGAGCTGGGGGACTCAGACCTGGCTCACCACAGCCAGGAGGAAGGAAGGACCGAGCACACAGCACCCCCCCACCCCTCCCGGGGAAGGGGAACCGATTCCAGCCGGTTTCCCCTCCCCCACGGCTGGCTCAGACAGGAGGGCACGGTGGGTGGGGGCGGGGCGAGGGAGGAAAGGGGAAGAGGGGGAAGGAAGGTGTGGGGCGGGGCGGGGCGGGACGGACTCAGTGAGTGTCGGACTCAGGGACTCAGTGAGTGCTGGGACTCAGTGAGTGCTGGGGACTCAGTGAGTGCTGGGACTCAGGGACTCAGTGAGTGCTGGGACTCAGGGACTCAGTGAGTGCTGGGACTCAGGGACTCAGTGAGTGCTGGGACTCAGGGACTCGGTGAGTGCTGGGACTCAGTGAGTGCTGGGGACTCAGTGAGTGCTGGGACTCAGGGACTCAGTGAGTGCTGGGACTCAGGGACTCGGTGAGTGCTGGGACTCAGTGAGTGCTGGGACTCAGTGAGTGCTGGGACTCAGTGAGTGCTGGGGACTCAGTGAGTGCTGGGACTCAGGGACTCAGTGAGTGCTGGGACTCAGTGAGTGCTGGGGACTCAGTACCTGCAACTCCTGACTTGTACTTGGGACAGAGTAGGGTGCTTGTGTCAGTCACTGGGTGCTGGGGCCTTGTGAGGGGTGGGGCCTCAGATCCATCAATCAGTGACGGATGCAATGGAGGGCGGGGCCAGTAGTCAAGGTCACCTGTTCACCCAGAGCAGCATGATGTCACTAAGGTGTGATGGACGGACTTCTCGGCATCCACCCCCAGGTGTCTGCAGACAGGGAGTGAAGCATCACGGGACCTCTTGTCATGTCTCCGCCTCTCAGTCCCATGATGCAGACACCTTGTGACATCACAATGTCATCCTCGCACTCTGACCTCATTAGCAGGGACACATTTGAGGCCACCCTGTCAGCAACTGGCCTGCAGATGAAAGTCATGCAAACTCTGCGTGCTCCCATGTCACATCGGTCCCTCCCCCTTCCAACCCCACCACCAATACCCCTCAACAAGCTGTGGCCCCGCCCCCTGGCCCCGGCTGTCAATCACCCGGTGCCTGTCAATCACCGCCTGTTCCTCCCCTCTAGGTTCCCGCCCCCGGCCCCAGCTGTCAATCACCCGGTGCCTGTCAATCACCGCCTGATCCTTCCCTCTAGGTTCCCGCCCCCGGCCCCAGCTGTCAATCACCCGGTGGCTGTCAGTCACCGCCTGTTCCTCCCCTCTAGGTTTCCCAACCTGCAGATGAGGAAGCGGGAGTACAGGCAGGCTGGAAGGACGGACAGGACAGAAGGACCGACCGACTCCCCGTCCGCACAGCCCCTCTGCCCAAAGACCCCCTCTACACCGCAGGGGTCCCCTGGGGGCAGCCGCAGGGGCTTCAGGTCATCAGGGTCAGTCCCCTGCCGTGGGTAAGTCACTTCCTCTCTGCTTCCGGGCAGGGTTGGCAGAGACACCAGTCAGGGAGGGGCTGGAGGACCGCGCCCGGGAGGACTCAGCCCTGGAGGACCAAGCGGGGGGACTGAGCCCGGGAGGACCGCGCCCGGGAGGACCGCGCCCGGGAGGACTGAGCCCAGAGAGTGCTGAGCACCGGGAGGACCGCACCCGGGAGGACCGAGCCCGGGAAGACCGAGCCCGGGAGGACCGAGCCCGGGGGACCGAGCCCGGGAGGACCGCGCCCGGGAGGATTGAGCCCGGGAGGACCGAGCCCGGGGGACCGAGCCCGGGAGGATTGAGCCCGGGAGGACTGAGCCCGGGAGGACCGAGCCCGGGAGGACCGAGCCGGGGGGACCGAGCCGGGGGGGACCGAGCCGGGGGGGGGGGGACCGAGCCCGGGAGGACCGAGCCCGGGAGGACCGAGCCCAGAGGGTGCTGAGCACCGGGAGGACCGAGCCCGGGGGACCGAGCCCAGAGGGTGCGGACCGAGCCCAGAGGGTGCTGAGCCCGGGAGGACCGAGCCCGGGGGACCGAGCCCAGAGGGTGCTGAGCCCGGGAGGACCGAGCCCGGGGGACCGAGCCCAGAGGGTGCTGAGAACCGGGAGGACTGAGCCCAGGGGACTGAGCCCAGGGGACCGAGCCCGGGAGGACCGAGCACTCTGCTCTCCAGACGCCCTGGGCGGGTCTGAGGCCTGGTGACGTCACTGGTGACGCCAGAGGGAGCCGCAGAGCATGATGGGAGGTCTGTGCACTCTCCCGGTGCTGTGCTGACCTGCTGTGGGGGTGGGGCGCCTGCGCCGGAAGTGGCCTGCAGACACCCCAAGGCAGGGCTCCAGAGTGAGGCACCGGAAGGGCATTGCAGGGAAGCCCCACCCCCTCCCCTCCCCCACCCTCCCCCACCCCACCCCTCCCCCACCCAGTTCTGGGTTCTAAAGGAGAAACAGAGACCTTGAGAGTCAAAGGTCAAGTGTCACGGGGTCACAGGATCCCCAACCCCTTTGGGCCGGAAGTGCCCTTCAGCACCCGGAGGAATTGTGGGATGGGATCTTCCCTGCCGGGCTTCCCCGCCCCCTGATGATGGAGCCACTTCCGGGCTAGGGGTGGGTGAAGCAGGGGTCACTGAGAGTCAGTGCTGAGTGAAGTGCAGGTGCCTTAGTCACTGGGAGTAAAGGGGTGGGGGCGGGAGGGGAGGGAGGGGAGGGAGGGGAGGGGAGGGAGGGGAGGGGAGGGAGGGGAGAGGGGTGGGGAGGGGGGCGGGCCCAGCCCTCCCACAGTGCCCCCGCCCCTGCACTGCCCTGGCTGGGGCGTGACCCCGCCCCCCCCTCCCCTCCCTCCCTCCTCTCCCTGCAGCCATGCCCCGCTGCCTGCCCCTGGCCTTGCTGTGCGCCCTGCTGCACACCCCCAGCTGCCTGGCACAGGGACTTCCAGGTGAGCGTGCAACACGTGTGCCCGCGTGTGTGTGCACGTGTGTGCATGTGCGTGCGTGTGTCCGTCTGTGCGTGCGTGTGTCCGTCTGTGCGTGCGTGTGCTTGCGTGTGTCCGTGTGCATGTGTGCGTGCATGTGCATGTGTGTGCGTGCGAGTGCATATGTGTGCGTGTGCGTGCGTGTGTCCGTGTGTGCGTCCATGTGTATGTGTGTCCGTGTGCGTGTGTGCCTGCGTGCGTGCGTGCGTGTGCGTGCGTGTGTGCGTGCATGCGTGTGTGTGTGTGCATGCGTGTGTGCGTGTGTGTGTGTGTGTGCGTGCGCGCGTGCGCCTTCCTCAGCTTCCCCAGGACACATGAAGAAATGCTAGGGGGCGTGGAAAACCATGACATGTTTGACAGGTCTAAACAGGAAGTACAGGTCACTGAGTCCCGCCTCCATGCTGTAATGTGACATCACTGTCCTGGGGGGCGGGCCAAGCCTACAGTGATTGACAGGTCCGGACAGGAAGCAGGCGTCCCTGTGCTCCTCCCCCACGGTATAAGATAGTCTAGTGTTTCCTGCGACCTACCCTCACTTCCTGTCATTTCTGGCTGAGGGTGGGGTCAGGGGTCAGAGGACAGGCTGACCCTTTGCCACACTCCAGCCTTGATCCCCCAGAGAGCCTCAGTGCTGAATGTGACCTTTGACCCCGGGACCTGGACACTGCATTGGAGCTGCAGGGACAATGTGGTCGTGACATCATGCACTGCAACAGATATCAAGAGGGACAGGAAACCCAGGACGCAAAGGATCCGGGTACCGGGGAGTGGGTGCAGGGGGCGGGGTCAGCAGGAGGGGCGGGGTGTCAGTGTGCAGGGGCGGGGCCAGCAGTAGGGGGCGGGGCCGGCAGACAAGGGCGGGGTTGTCAGTGTGCAGGGGCGGGGCCGGCAGGAGGGGGCGGGGCCGGCAGGCGGGGGCCGGGTTGTCAGTGTGCAGGGGCGGGGCCGGCAGTAGGGGGGCGGGGCCGGCAGGCGGGGGCGGGGTTTTCAGTGTGCAGGGGCGGGGCCGGCAGTAGGGGGCGGGGCCGGCAGACAGGGGCGGGGTTGTCAGTGTGCAGGGGCGGGGCCGGCAGGAGGGGGCGTGGCCGGCAGACAGGGGCGGGGCCGGCAGTAGGGGGCGGGGTTGTCAGTGTGCAGGGGCGGGGCTGGCAGGAGGGGGCGGGGCCGGCAGGCGGGGGCGGGGCCGGCAGGCGGGGGCGGGGTTGTCAGTGTGCAGGGGCGGGGCCGTCAGGAGGGGGCGGGGCCGGCAGGCGGGGGCGGGGTTGTCAGTGTGCAGGGCGGGTCGGCCCAGGCAGGCAGAGTCACCTTGCATCCGGGCATAGGGAGATGGGCTCAGCAGCCTCGGGAGCACTTGTCATGTTGGAGGAGTTGGAGGGTTGGAGGAGAGGCTGGGGCCTGACAGTGACGTCACATACCCCCGCCCCCAGCCCATAGACTGCCGCTGTCAGTTCCGGTCCCTGACCCTTCACCTCGGGGTCACACTGGAGGTCAATGCAACTGTCAATCACAGTGCAGTGCTGGAGAGACTGAGTTACATCAACCAAGGTGCATGCAGGGCTGGAGGTTGGGGCAGGGGCGGTGGGGTTTGGGGGCCTGTCGGTCACAGTCACACCTGTCAATCAAGGTGCCCAACAGTTGCCATGCCTGTCAATCATGCTGTCAATCACAGCCCCTGTCAATGGGACCTGTCAATCATGGTGCCTGTCAATCACTGCATCTTCAGTGTTGATGATGGAAGAATTTCTGTGATGATGTCACTGTTCTCTTTCCCCGCAGGTGCAGAGGGGTCAGCAGCGCAGAACGTCACTTGCGTCATCCATGATGCAGGTGTGATGACATGTCTCTGGGGGGCGGGGCCTACAGCACCACATGATGTCCAGTACTTCCTGCACATCCGGAATTCCACGTGAGCAGTGATGAAGTCAGGGTGTGGGGCAGTGGGGGAGCTATTATGGGATGTTCTAGCACAGCCTGACTATGCTGGGATGGATGTTCCAGTGGATGGGGGTTGACTATTATGGGATGTTCTGGGGGAAGCTACCATGGGATATTCCAGCAGGGGCTATTATATGATGTTCCTGCCCAGGTTGATTATTATGGCATGGTTGGTGGGGGGTATTATGGGATGTTGTAAGGCAGGGGGTAGAGACTACTATGGGATGTTCTAGCAGATGAGGGGTATGTGACTATTATGGAATGTTCCAGCAGGGCTGACCATTATGGGGTGTTTGGTGGGGGGCAATTATGGAATAGTCTAGGACAGAGAGAGCTATTATGATCCAGTGGAGTGTGGGTGAGTATTTATTATAGGATGTTGCAGTGTGTGTGGTGTGTGGGGAAGAGGGAGTGATTTTTATGGCATGTTCTAGTAGGGCCTGACTATTATAGGATGTTCCAGCCAACGGGGCCCGACTACTATGGGGAGTTGCCCATTATGGGATGTTCCAGCAGGGTTTCACTATTACGGGATTAAGGTGCCTGCCCCTGCTGACTGTTATGGAATGCCCGCCCACAGGGGTCATGTGCTGATGGAGTGCCCCACCTACCTGGGAGGTCACCTGCACACAGGCTGCCGCCTGGACGATCTGACACTGGTGCCTCGTCACGTGCACGTGGCCGTGACCGGATCCAGCCGGATGGGTGATGTCATGTTCTATGACGTCACGCTGAACACGAAGCTCATTGGTGGGTAATGTCACGACTGACAGGAGTGTGAGCGGCGAATTGTGAGAGGGTGGGTCATAGGAGTGAGTGACAGGAGAGTGTGAGGGGGCAGGTCGTGAGGGTCAGGGATAGTTTGTGGGCGGGGCACGGGGGTGATTGACAGGAGTGAGGGGCAGTACAAGCGGTGAGTGACAGGTGACCACAGAAGCAAGCTTGTTCCTTCACGAAGTCACTTCTGCGGGGCGGGACTTGCTCCTGTCACCCCAACCCCGCCTTCCCCGCAGAGCGTCTGAGCCCCCCGGATGACGTCACTGTGGTTTGTAACTCCTCCCACTGCGCCGTCACGTGGTCCCGGCCGCGGACCTGGGCTCCCATGACCTTCTCCGACTTCCAGTACGAGGTGGACATCCAGAGGCAGGTGTGTGCCCGCCCGGGGCAGCATGGGGAGTGCGGTGCATGCCCGGGGACCATGGGAAATGGGGAACCCACTTCCTGCTTACATTTACTCCTAGAACCCGGAACCCGGAAGTTCCAACCACAAGGTGAGGCGACCCCTGCTCCATGGTGACCCCTGACCTCCCACTCACCTTGGCCATGGGCGTGTCACATGTGAGCTTGCCCAGCCCTCCCTGCTGCTCGCCCCAGGTGTACATCTCCATCCAGGAGGAGAACAGAGTCGAGTTCCCGAGCCCCGAGCCGAGGCTGGGTCACGTGGTCAGCGTGCGTGCGGGGGACGTGCGCAGCAAGCGGTGGAGCGTGTGGAGTCCGTTTGTGGAATTCGGTGATGGATGGCTGAGTTTTCCTACTGAACATTTGTTTGTTGACTGAGGCTTAGTCACTCGGTGTTTTTGATTGTTTTAATTGTGACTTTATTTGTGATGGATCTTCCGTGTTTATTGACTTAGTTCTGATCAGCCTTTGTTGATTGTTTCATAACCTTTACTTGTGATTGACCCTGTGTGTTGTTTTGTTTTTGTCAGTTAATCAGTTGACTGTGATAATGGGTGGGATGAGATTTCCAGCGGGTGTGGCCTTTGACCCCAGATATTTCTTGTCTAAGCCCTGCCCCTCCCACAGGCTCTGAAAGGCGAGTGGTACCCCGATTACACGTGTACCTGATAGTGGTGACTGTGACCCTGCTGTGTGCCACGGGCCTGGGGCTGGCGTGTAAGAGGTGAGGGGAGCCCAGGTCATGTGATGGGTGATGACATCATGGGGCAGGGCGTAGGGGAGTGACTTGTAGCATGCACTGCTTCCTGCACCGGCCACTTAGGGGCTGGGTCAAAACGACTATCTCAAGATGGCCGCTGTGACCTTGAATCCTGACCCTAGGTTCATCAGGATCCAGAGACTCTTCCCCCAAGTCCCAGAAATCAAGGACAAAGTCTCGGATGATGACAGGATCAACCCCGAGGTCAGACATTAGGCCGGCAAGGGCAGGGCCTCCCCTGTCCGTCATCCCCTTTGGACCCACCCACCTGGGAAATCCTTCGCCGAGTCCCTTCCCCAAATGGTGCCCTGTGACTCCAGTTGACTCCAAATGACCTCAGTTAACTCCCTGACCTTGATTGACCACTCTGACCCTGGTTGACCACCTGAGCCCAGGTGACCCCTGCTGGCCCTGGTTGACCCCTGTTGACCTCTGTATACACCACAGACCAAGGTTGAACCCCACTGATACTAGTTGACCTCTGCTGACCATGGTTGACACTGGTTGACCTTTGCTGACCCTGTCCTCCCCCAGACCCTGAGGAAGGATTTGCAGCTGCAGATCGACAAGACTGACTAGATGATATGTCAGCAGGAAGCCCCCCCCCCCATCATGGGATCCCATCGTGAACTGACTGAGAATTCTGTGAATATACAACTGTTCCTCACTTGTGACTTTAAATTTAATGAAAAAATGAATGTCCGCATGATATCATTGTGCCGGGTTCATCATCAGGCCTGTGGGGGGCGGGGCCGGGACGCCTCAGATGCCCTCAATGACATCATTGCGTTAGTGCCCTGGGGTGGGTGCGCTCATGATGTCATCCTGTCAGTCACCTGGGATGGGCTTGTCTGTGGGTGTGTCCTGACGGGAGGGGCAGGTGGACACTCACCTTAGCCGTGACCCCATATGGCTCTCAGGGTCACAGATTCATGTATCCATTGTCATCCATCACAAACATGAACCCGCCCACGCACCAGGTGTGTGCCCCTCAGGCCCTCGAGTGGGAGGCAGGAGACCCTGTGGCTAAGGCAGGTACCACACCCCCTGCCACTGGACCTGCTCCCACCCTGTGGCCCCACCCCCTGACCTCCAGAGCCTCCACAGCAGCAGCAAGTAGTGATCAGCAACGTGACGGCCCCAGGCCACCGGAGCTATGGAAATGACAGCGGCTCCTGGCAGGACTGGGGGGGGGGCGTGAGGGTCACGGGGTCACAGCTGCAGCCCCGCTAAGAGTCTGTCTGTCATCCCTGTGGCCACGCACTTGTCAATCATCTACTGCCTATCAGTCACCTGCTCCATTTCCCCTGACCTCTCCCATGACGCTGACCTTCTCTCCTGTGATCCCTAACCTTCTCTATCACCCCTGACCTCTACTGTGATCCTGACCTCTCGTAATAACCTGACCTTAGGGTCTCTGACCTTCTCTCATGCCCCCTGACCCTGTTTCCTGTGACCTCTCCTGTGACCTTTGATTTTTACTATCCCTGACCCCTCGTGTTTCCTGTGACCTCTGACCTGTCCTGTAACACTGACTTTCTGTCCTACAACCCCTGACCTTCTCTAATGTCATACGTGGCCTTCTCTCTCGTGACCCCACACACTCCTCTCTTTGACCTCTGACCTTCTCTTTTATGACCCCTGATCTTCTGTACTATAAACATTGACCTCTTCTGTGAACCCTGACCTCTGCTGTGACCCCCTAACTCACACCTGTGACCCATGACCTTGTCTTCCATGATCCCTTATTCACCAGTCTGATCCCTGACTCTTCTGTGAACCTTGACCTCTCCTGTGACCTCTGGCCTTCCCTAATGTCATCCCTGGCCTCTTCCATGACCTCTGACCCTCTCTCCTATGACTTCTGAACTTCTCTCCCCTGACCCTTGACCTCTCCCATGCTCCCCAGCCCCTACTGCGCCCCTCCCCCTCAGTTATATCATGTGCCCTTCACCCCACTCTCCAGTGGGTCACATGGGTCCTCTCCTGTCCATAGATGGCACCCTGCATGGTGACCCAGGGCCTGGAAGTCATAGCATCGGGTGTCAACCCCACCCACCGTGACATTACCCGCAGTGCTGAGGGGCTCTGCGGGTAGACAGACAGTTATATGATCAGGGCCCACTTCCTGGAAGTTGGGTTTGAACCACAAGTAGGGGCAGAGGTGGTGCCTTGGGTTCAGGTCACACCTGCTGGAAACAAGGCCCAACCTAGAAGTAGGTGTGCAGGGGTGGGCCCCAGGGTCAGCGCCCAAAGGGATTATGGGACAGGTGATGGAGGATGGAAGCAGGAAAGGAGGATGGGTTAGGAGCAAGTGTGGGACTGATGGAAGATTGACAGATGGACTGATGACTGAAAGACAGGTGATTGATGGGTGGATGATTGACAGGTGGACAGGATTGAGAGGCAATGACTGAAGGACCTGATACATGTGACTGACTGAAGGGAACCTGGTGATGTTACCCACCCCTTCCCAGAGCATACTGGGAACAGTGATGTCACCCACCTGCCACCCAACATCCACAGCAGCTTCCGTTTGGGAGGTTGGGACATGTGGCCAGGACAGCATCCTCCAGCCAATGGAAGATCAGATTCCCCTGGGGGCTGGGCTTTACTGTGGGAGAGAGCAGTCAATTACCCCATTCTGGATGTTAGGGCTTCACAGTGGGCAGAAGACAGCTGTCAATCATAGCCATCCTGGGGCCAGGGTTCACTGTGTGGGAGAGCTGTCAGTCACAGTGTTCATGGGGGGGGCAGGTCTTCACTGTGGGAGAGAGAACTGTCAATCAACACATTCCCTGGGGATGGGACTTCACTATGAGCAGCAGAGAGCTGTCAATGACCTTTTCCCCTGGGATGGGGTTTCCACTTGGTTTGAGAGCTGTCAATCACAGCATTCCCAGAGAAGTAGGGCTTCACAATGGGAGGGGAGAACTGTCAATCACCAGGGATGACTGACAGGTGAGAATGCCTGGGGTGACATCATGGCAGATACAGAGGGACTGAGTGTTATTCCTGTATAACTCAAAGGTACCCATGTAGCCCCATTCGTCCATGTGACCTCTTCATGACCTAGGTGACCCCATGGCATGATGACCCCAACTCACCCACATGACCCCTATACCCAACTCACCCACAAGACTGCTATATGACCCCAGCTCACCCACATGACCCCTACATGACCCCGACAAACCCATATGACACCTATATAACCCGAACTCACCCATGTGTCCCCTAAATACCTAAAAATCACCCAAGTGTCCAAAACTCACCCATGTGACCCCAACAAATCCACATGACTCCTACACAATCCCATCTCACACATGCAAGCTCTCCATGACTCCAACTCATCCACATCACCCTACAAGACCTACACACCCTCGTGGCCTGGAGTGATCCCTAGGCAGCACTATCCCACACCCACCCATCAGAGCCTGCACCTCATTAATTCTAGTCTTCTGACATCATTTCCAGTACTCATAGTAGGCTGTGGCCAGCTGCTCTTGGTTTTAGATGGACTCTACCCCCTTCCAGATGTCAATCTCCAGCCAGGCCCTGAGGGAAGGGAACAATCACCCAAAAGTGAATCCCACAAGGGATGGAGGCTGGGGGATCATGGGAATGAGCGGGAAAGCAGAGGATCATGGGTATGTGGAGGAGCATGGGAGTATGTGGATAATGGGAGTGAGCAGAGGATCATGGGAGTGTGGGACATCTTGGCAGAGAGCAGGGGATCATGAGAGTGAGTGGTGGATCATGGGAGTGTGGAGAAGCATGGATCACGGGGTGGTATGTGTGGGGTCATGTTAGTGAGCAGTAAGAGGGGGGATCATGGGAGTGAGCAGGGATCACGGGAGTGTGGGGGATCATGGGAATGAGTGGGAGATGGGAGAGAGTGGTTGATAATAGGAGTGAGTAGGGGATCATGGAAGGGTCATGAATTATGGGAGTGAGAGTGGCATCATGGGGCTTGGGGATCATGGGAGTGAGCAGGGATCATGGGAGGGAGCAGGGGATCATGGGAGTGAGCAGGGATCATGGGAGGGAGCGGGGGATCATGGGAGGGAGCGGGGGATCATGGGAGGGTCATGAATTATGGGAGTGAGAGTGGCATCATGGGGCTTGGGGATCATGGGAGGGAGCGGGGGATCATGGGAGTGAGCAGGGATCATGGGAGTGAGCAGGGATCATGGGAGGGAGCAGGGATCATGGGAGTGAGCAGGGATCATGGGAGGGAGCGGGGGATCATGGGAGTGAGCGGGACCAATGCAGTTTGGGGGATTGTGGGGTCTTAGGGGAACATGGGAGTGTGTGGGATCATGGGAGTATGGGGGATATATATCATTAACTTTTGTTTTGAGACAGGGTTTCTCTGTGTAGTTTTGGAACTCATTTTATAGACCAGGCTAGACTAGAACTGATGGATGCACTTGCCTATGCCTCTCCAGTGCTGGGATTAAAAGTGAGTGCCACAATACTCAGCCATAAAATTAACTTTTAACGGTTTTATATTATAGAAATGTCTTTTTAAAATTTTTTTCCAAAGTCTAATTATAATTTTTGGGGAATTAAAACTGTAGGAAGTGGAATAATTTTCTTTAATTTGTATGTGTGTGTATGTACTTACATGTGTATGTAGATGTATGTGTATGCAATTATTCATGCCACAGCACACATGTAGGGGTCAGGAAAAACTTGGAGGATTTAATTCATCCCCTCCATTATATGAGTTCTGAGGATGGAGCTCAGGTATTCAGTCTTGGTAGCAAATGTCTTTACCCACTGAGTTATCTCACTGGCCCTGTAAAAACACTCTTATAGTGCAAAAGTTCTAGACAAAACACAATGTGTGGCTATGACTTTTTCTGATCATCTGTTGTCTTAAAGCCTTATCAGAGATATTTCAGTTTTATCTATTTTGTTACTCATCCTAAGATCCAGGAACATCCCTGTGGTTAAACAAGCTAGGTGGGTCACTTGTATTATGGAAGAGATCTCAAGTACACAAAACCATGGGGAAAGTAGTGATTAAGACAAGAAGAGAACCAGGGCTTTGCTTCTATGATCAGAAATCTCTACGATTTCTCAACAGATGAGGATATTTAAAGATGCAGTCACTTATTTCTTTATAATATTGTCTAAAGGTAAAAGTCAGGCACATGAAGCTGTTGAAGTTGGAAAATTTGGCTACAAAAGGAGGGTGTCTTATCATTGTAAAGGGGCACAATATCTTATTCAGTTTGAATTGGTATAAAAATTTTAGCCGCAGAGTGGGAGACTTAAGCAGCACTCATTTCTCATAGTTCTGGAAGCTGTAAAAGCACACACCCTAGGCAACAGGTGGCTGTAGAGGTGCTGGCTTCGATGTGGGTCCTTAGTTATATTCTATTGATCGTTGGCTCTATTTTAACCTAGGTCATGGTACTTTTATTATTATATATCTGTAGCATTGCTTGAAATCTAGGGTGTTGGTGCTTCCAGCAGTTTTTATTATTTAGGGGTCATTTGAGCTTTCCTGCATCTTTTGAGTTCTCATATGAAATTTAAGATTTTTTTTTTCAATTTCTCTTAAGAGCTGCACTGGAATTTTCTTGAAACTGTGGATTGATTTTGGTAAGGTAACCATTTTCATAATATTAATCCTATCAATCTAGGATCATAGGAAGTCTTTGCATCTTCCCAGTGTCGTCTTCAATTTCTTTTTTCAGT